TACAGCTCTCCCTGACCCAAATGCATGGCCAACAAAGGCCACTTTTAGCATCAGCCTCTAACTACTACTGATGGAGTCTGTAATGAGTAAGCTGCATGTTAGCTCCTAACATCAAGTCCAGAGAGCACATGGTTAATATTTAATGTCAATTAAAAACTCTCCTCCCCACCAGGGCCTAGACTGGCGCATAGCTGTCTTCCCAGGACCAATTCACCACACTTATTTTGCACTGCCAATAGGATTGCAGAATCGTGCTTCTGTAACTAGTTTAGCCAGGCTAGCCTCCCCACAACCCTCTGTGCATTATGGTACCCTAGTGAGCATGGTTCCTGGCACTGCAAGTTCATCTCTGCAGGCACATGCAACAGGCACTCTGCTCCCCGAAAGAAACAACAGGACAGTGTCCAGGTTTTCCCAGAATTTACCAATGCTAATGCACTTAGGCAGGGAAGAAGGTGCAGACACATATAGCTGGTGGCTCGGGGCGGGGGTGGAGGGGACCTGCCATGTGCAGGGCCGACTTATCTATTAGGCACAGTAGGCACAGTGCCTAGGGCCCACAATATTTTTAGGGGCCCACGAAAGTGTTTTAATTTCTTTTAAAATCAGAAAAAAAACCCGAACTTTTAGGGTCAAAGAAAATCTATTAAATTTTGCCTACAACAGAAAAAAAATGAAATGTTGAAGTATTTAAAGTTATTTAAAAATTATTTTTATATGGAGGAAGGGGCCCACGAAGGCAAAAGTGCCTAGGGCCCAGGAAAGTCATAATGCAGCCCTGGCTATGTGGATGCAGCTCAGCCACGTGTGTGACAAGATCAGAGGCCACTGCGATCAGGGTATAAGAATGCTGGAGCATGTGTAATGCATGTGCATTTCTTTCCACTTTAGTTACCCCAGAGTTTACAACTTCATGGGATACCGTTTTCCACACTCTCAAGAAATCTTGACAACAGCAGCCAAACAAAGGAAGGAGAAGAGGGAGACGTTCTTCTATATTTTAATAGTTTTTAAAAAAAATTTTAAAAAAACAGATGTGTGTGGAAATGAAAGCAGGATGGACTTTGGAGAGAGTCATTAAAAATAATAAAGTAGCAAGTGAAGGCAGCTTTTCCACTGTGGGTCACAGTCAGGCCCATAAAGATTATCACCATGATTGGGCCATTAACCTGATTAATTTATATTCCTCAGAGACTGCTGGAACAAGCCAATGCTTCCTAATTTTCAAACTAGGTATGTAAAATCCTATTAATAATAACCAGTTAAACTACGTTTAACCAGTTAACTAGCAAGTTGCATCACGGGTGGAGACCACTAGAGCCCGCGGTGGGCCCAGCCAGGCAGGGCACACTGCACTGCATCGTGGACTGGACACCACTCCAGCCTAGCAGGGCGACTTAACTGGTTACCAAAAAGCATCACCTAGTAAGAATGAAGCTTACCAGATAACCAGTTACTCAATTATATCTCTGTTTCAGACTAGCCCAGTATTATTGTGGTAAAGCCCAGTGAAGTAATTGGCATTGCTATACTACATAGTTTCACCATGCCAGCCTGTCTTTAGATACTGAGGGGTAGGGACCTAAGAGTGTAGTTGATTAACTGATAAGCAAAAGCTTATAGGTTAATGCTATAGACTACATGCATTTCCCTCCCTCCACCCCACCTTGCCAGTAAATTGTTTAGCAAGCTGGCCAGCAGCCCAGCTCAGTCCTGGCTTGCTATGGGACCTGCCCCCTCCCTCCTTTCAGTTCTGGCTCACACCAGGTCCAGGAGCTAGCTCACGCACGCGCACACACAACAGCAGTTGCTGCCACCCCACTCTGCTGCCTCTATCAGAGCAACGGTCATCGGTCAGTGAGGGGAGCTGGTTTTTAAAACTGGTTTCCTCATAGACCAGCTCCCATCTAGTACCCCGCACTGCTGCCTCTGATACAGAGGCAGCAGCATGGAGTGGCAAGGAGCTCCTTGGGAGTGAGGCCGGAGCACAGTGGCTGCCAGCCCCACCCCTTGGGACTAGAGACTAGTCAATTAACCAATAAGAATTTGTGGGTTTAATCAATTATTCAATTAACCAATGTTTAACATCCCTAATAGATTTCTCGAGACCAGTAGTGCCCAAACTTTTCCAAGGGCATGTCCCCTTACCAGTAATGGAACCTATGTATCTGTGTCCCCCTCTGTTGTCGCACAGTAGCTCAGCACAGGAGATTGAGTTGAAGGAGGAGCTGGGGGCAGGACTGGGCTGTGGTCTGGTGTTGCTTCCTCCCCACCCCTTCTGGAGGCTGGCATGGGCCCTGCTATGTGCCCTCTTGCACCTCACAATTTAGGAACCACTGCCCTGATATCCCATGGTAGATTAAATAAACACACAAAGGAAAGAAAAAACTCACAGTTCCTGGGTTCAGCTCCCATCTGCCAAACAGATTAGTTCTATCTACTTCCTATGCCTTGCTCGGCCCCACCTCTCTCCAGTGAGATCTAACATCCCCAGCTCTACCTCCATTAACAGCTTCTCAATGGAGGTCAGAGCAGTTCCCTGCAGCTGAATCAATTCTTAAGAGAAATCTCTTAAGGTCTAGGAGTGTGAGCACAAGGTTTTGTATCAGGTGTGGATAGGCTACACAGCACAGAGGAATGGACTGACTAGGCAAAAGCTACGCAGACAAACGGGGCTATTTTTAAGCCACATTTGGGAGCTGACCTAGGGCAGACTGGAGGGATTTTGTTCTTGCTCTAGTCTATCAGAGCATAAAAAAAATGTATTGTTCACTCTTTGTTCATGAAACTGCCAGTGGGTACCACCATCTCAGTGACACACTGTAACAAAGGGGATCAGGTGCACACCTTATTGACGACACTCAGTTTGTGGTGCATGGCCGAGGGTGAAAGGAGCAAAAAAATTGACTCCCTGGATTATGGTTAACAAGCCAAGGGATGAGAATTACCAATGGGTCAGTAAATAGCAGTCAGGGCCAAAAACATTACAACGGCCACCACTTCATGGAATCCCATTACAATATATTCCTCCAGAATGGTTAAACAGTGTTACACCTTCAAGTATATGTGGCATGACTGTTTTAACAGACCTGTGCTAAAGATTTGGACAGAGCAAGAATGTACCAAGTCAACTATTATACCCTAAAATGGAATTAAGTCAAGGGACGATGATTGTAACCCGGTCCCTCAACAGTTTTTCCTGTAGTTTAAACAAGCCTTCAGCAGTAAGATTGTGTGTAAGAGCAGGTGCGAGCTGGGGCCCTTGAACATGAGCCAAGGTAGAACTGCGCAGATGCTAAAGAATGATCTAAGCCAGCCTCACAGCCCTGACTTTTCAGTCATACACACCCTTCATGTCAAGAAGCCCTACAATAAAAAGCAATTCTGTATAGAATTGCTGCAATTAAGTCCTTAGTGGGGACAGTGTCCACACTGCATGGGAGAATGGTACAAGATACCATTCTCCAGCACTGTAAACTCCATGGGGGAGGGAAGAAGAGCAGGAACAATACAGAGCCAATTTAGATTTTGTACTGTTGAGAATCATGGGAAGTTGCCCTGGAAATCAATATCATTAAATTGCTATATGGTCAGACACAAAGTTCACTAGTATGAATTTGAAAGGAGAAAGGTCCTAGACATTCATTGCTCCAAAGATGCAAGGTCTTGGACAGAGTCACTCATTCCCATGGAGGGTAATTCACATGTATTATATTCTATTGGACCTTTCTACAGTTGATAACAGTGACACCCACCTACACTTTCACTCACCACACCCATCAACAAGGGGCTAAAAATTACAATGTTAAAATTCCCTATCTCTGAAGCCATGTACTTGGAAACAAATGTACTGTTTCTTCCCAGGCTCTCCTCTGGAATTTAGTAGTTTGCTAAAGATTCCATCTGCAAACTCCTCACGACACCCACTCCCCACACAGCCCCACCCACCCACCCATATAAGCACCCAGCCCCACCCTCCCCCCCATATAAGAAAGGGGAGAAATGACTCCAGGACTCACAAATAGGAATACAAAGTCCACTAGTGGCCAGTCTCACCACACCACAGGGGGAGGAAGTAGATTTTAAAGCATCAACCAGCTTTTACAAATGTGCAACCTGAGAAACATCTTCTCCAATGCAGGAGTCACACAGCAGAACTCATCCCACCCATGATATCATCAGTCCTACACCCAATCCATGATATTATCTATACTGCCATCTTTTGCATGCTGAATCTTCAGCAAGCCTTCAGCTGCCTTGTGAGGTACTATCCTGATGCAGCCAGTGAAAAGAAGGGACAAACAATTGGGCCATGACCACTGAGGGAGCAGCACCCTTAGTTCTTTGCTTCTGGTCCTGTGCTTGAATTCAGCGCAGCAAGTTAAATTAAAACAAACTGGAGGGGGTTATTTAAGAGAGTTTCCATGTCAACGCCAGCTATGTTAAAGATGCTGTAATTCTTCAGGAAGTGCAGCGTGCCACAATTAGACTTTTCTACCAGTAGTTCTGCCATGACCTTTGGAAACCTGTTCCCAGGCACACATTCAGGTTACAATGTAAATCAAAGACATTTTAGTAGTTCCCACATTAACTTGAGTTCCAAATTTGGGGTTATCGAGGATTTTTGTGGGGGTTGCGATAACTTTTTTTCCACCCACTCCCACAAATGCCTCTCCTTCTGGCATCAGAAATATTATTTCTGCTACCTTTTACAGCACTTGAAGCATATGATCAAAAGATCACAAGTTGCTGATCAAGAGCCTCAAAAATTCATGCCAGAGATGGCAGTTATAAGGGGTCTTTTTTCCTCTCCAACGGATATGGCGCTCTGGTCAGCTGCCTAGCAAGGAACAAAATCCCATGTATGGCACTTATTAAAAATTCCCAAATTTGTTTTGAAGCATACCGAGACGATCATACTTGCGTGAGCAATCTCTGCTGTAAAAGGTATATTCACTTAAACTGAATAACTTAAAACCAGGAACTCAAAACAGACTTACATTTAGCCTCTGACAGATTCTGATTGGGTGACCAGACCAGCATACCAAGGTTCTCTCTCTCCTGACAGCGCCTTGTAAGTTTGGCTTGAGGAAAAAAAAAAATATATGCAGCAAAGTTAAAAATAGATTCAAGTTTTTGATCGCTCACTAGTACAGAAGCAAACTGGGTACAAAAGTGACTTGCTGCCTAGCTTTTAGTTAGTCTAACAAGATTAAAAGCCTTCCTCCCTCTCTCCACCTCCCTTACACCAAATATCTCTATTTGTCTCTTCTATGCATCGCTCTTAATTCAGTGCGAGAGAGGAAGTATATTCATCCTCTTTCATGCAAAAATTTTTAATTCCACAGTTTGTTAACATTTCTACATCAACATACTTATTTCACTTCTGCCTGGTCCCTTCCTTGTGTAGTTAGCTGAGAATAGACATGTAGAATGAAGAACATTCTAGGATTTTCTGCAAATCCCTGTTAGTTACCTTAAGCCCTCCTCCAGTTAGTTGGAAGGAACAACATATTTCCACAATTACATTTCATACTTGATGTCATGGATATTAGGATATGTGCCTTTGATTATACCATTATACTCTAAATAGGAAAATGGCTCTGTTCATATATGTCTATCACAATAAACAGTTGCTGATATAGTGCATTAAAATAGTTCATTCAAAGCCACATGCATGTTGGGTTTCAGAAAAAGTGATATGAACATCACCACAAGTTTGTGTACAGTGAATTATTGATGGTCAGCTGTTCAATTCCTTACACCATTAGCCAGCTAGGGTATGAGAGTTATCATAAGTAGACATACAAAATGGGAAGAGCAGTACCAAAAACCCTGCTCTGAGTCAGGACATGCAGTTATATCCATTACTAGAACTGGCAACACTATCACTAAGAGCAATACTCTCATTATCTAGTTATCTGTGAGTGCTGGGCATTATTATTCATATTGAAAAACCTTCATGGAGTGTTAAAGATGCACAGTGCTTCATATATAGAATGTCATATAGCCTTGCCCCAATCTGATTTATGATCTATAAACACAAAGTTCGTGAAAAGAAATTCTTAGGGTACATGTGTATTGAACTACTCTCTGCATCAGCAAGTCTTACAGCTCAGGGCTACAGGACTGTGGGGCTAAAAATAGTAGTGGTGTAAATGCTCCCACTTAGACCAGGCCTCAAGCTCTGAAGTGACTCCCCTCCCTGGGTTTCAGAACCTGAGCAGAACAGCTACTCTATTTTTAGTTCCCCAAGCCTGAGTCTGTAGACTTGGGCTGCAAATCATTGCTTCATTTTTTTTCTCTCCCCAATGCAGACATACCCTTAGTAATGAGGAGCAGTGAAAAGAGACCCTACCCTAAGGTACCAAGTGTGTGAAGTCAGAACAGGATCTACTTTTACAATGCATGCAGTAGAGATAGAGTTATGTCAAAGGAAACATGGTGCTGCAACAGGCTACATCAAAACATTTGGTGGGTGCATGCAATGATCCTTAATGATTTCACCACTCAGGCTGCACTGATTTTTAACATTGCCTCTCCTTAACTGGGCATTAGACAGCAAACCTGAGTTACGTTTTCAGGTAACTGCTTAAATCCCATTAATACCATTTTTAAAACTTGCATGTTATTAACCTTTAATTTAATGCAAAGATACCAATTATTTTTACTCTCAATTGTCTGGATGCTTTCACATTTGCATTATCCCTACGCTATACCCCATTTATGCAAGAAAGTTTTTTCTCTGTTCTGCCATGAAGATTCTGAGAAATTAATGACCTTTTCCTTTTCTCTGGCATTTTAAGGAGATTGGCAACTGACTCTTTCCAGACACCTTCAAATTCCAAGTATCCTGAAGACTCTGCCTTGGAATACTGTGAGCAGTACATGTTTTCAAGACTTTCCACATTAGGAAAAAAGTGGGGCTGGGAACTGCAAAAAGAGGAGAAAACATTCTGTGGAATAGAATGACAGGGTGGCGATGGGATGTTCTAGAGAGACAATACAAACATTTTAATGTAAAATGGCAGTAATTGGATTTTGAACAAAACTAGCATTGCACGAAAGTATATCTAAAGATGGCCTCACATTATTTAAGGATATACAAATAAATGCACAAGGAGAGACTCCCATTACGGTTTACCTTAAGCAATGACAGTCAGCTACACCCAAAAAGTCTGTATTCAGCTGTATTTTGTCAAGTTAGGATTCAGGAGTCAATTGCTTAAATGCCAAAAAGAGCAGAGTTAGAGTTAAGGTTGCCCCCTCGTGCCTTGTACCTCTCCAGAACATGCAGAGTAGCTAAACGTAAAGCCTCTGAAAACACCTTAGTACAGTAAAACTCCATTAGTCCGGCATCCAATGCTCCGGGACTCCTGATGGTCCAACACCATCAGGAACCCGGAAGTGCTGGGGCAGCCGGACAGGCTTCCCCCATTCAGCTGCTGCTGAAACTGACCAGCAGCTGAATCGAGGAAGCCGGGAGCAGAGCAGCTGGCGTGCTGCCGGGTTGGTCCCGTAGCGCCGCCCCTCGGCACTGCGGGACCAACCCGGCAGGACGCCAGCTGCTCTGCCCCAGGGGTCCCCAACTCAGCCGCTGCTGAAACAGATCAGCGGCTGATTCCAGGAAGTCCCAGGCAGAGCAGCTCCCCAAGAGGGGCAGCGCTACGGGACCAACCGGGCAGTACCCTAGCTGCTCTGTCCCAGGCGTCCCTAAGAGCAGCTGCAGTGCTGCTGGGTTGGTGCTGTAGCGCCGCCCCTCGGCACTGCGGGACCAACCCGGCAGCACCCCAGCTGCTCTATTGCAGGCATCCCCGATTCAGCTGCTGCTGAAACTGACCAGCAGCGGCTGAATCAGGGACGCCTGGGGCAGAGCCAGACTATCGTAAGGGGGGGCTATGAGGGGTCTGGGGTGGCGTCCCCTCCCACTCCACTCCAGACCCTTCATAGTCCCCCCTTCTGATAGTCCAGCACCCCCCTGGGTCCTACAGGTGCCGGATTATCGGAAGTTTACTGTAACTGGTTTTCAGAGATCCAAGTTCAGCCACACTGCACATTGTAGAACAGTAATTACGGAAGGTGCTACCTTGAGGGTACGTTTACCCTACTGCAACTATGTAGACACTTCTATCCACTAGGCCCAGGAAGGATTCAACCCACCTCCCTACTAGAGATGTGGGCCACTAGTCAACTATCCAATAAGCAGAGGCTTATCAGATATAGTCGACTAGTGATGAGACTAGTCACTTCTCTTCCACCATCACCTTCCCCCTGCTGCCTTTATCAGAGAGGCACAGAAAAGTGGGGGCAGGGAAGAGAGCAGGAGCCAATGCTGGGGGGAGCCAGCTTAAAAGCCGGTTCCCCCCAGCACCATTTCCACAGGGGACTGGGGAGGTAGAGGCACAGTGGGAAACGGCACAAGCAGAGACTGCCGCAGTCTCTGCTTGTGCAGCTTCTGCTGCAGTTCTGCTTTTGAAATGGACAAGAGCCCTTGCTGGCCCCAGGCAGCTTCCTTTTGAAATATACAAGAGCAGGGCTGGGGCTATGATACATTTCAAATACTCAGGTGCTACAGGGAGAGCGGGGCCAGTCCCACCTCTCCAAAAGCTGATAGCTAGGTCAATGGAAGAGTTATTGTCAGTCAGCCTGGCTGTCTCTACCTAGTGTGGAGTAAGTCAGGGGTTCTGAATTTTGGTTTTTTTTTTTTTTGGCTGGGTCCCCCTTTGAAAATATTTCAAGTTCTGACAAAGCCCGCCCCCCGCCATCTATCATGCTACTCTTACTTCTGCACTGCCGCCTTCTTCAGAACTAGGCACCCTGCCAGATGCCACTCACAAGACTATTGCTAGGGGTGTTGAGAGACAGTCACAGGTCTGTTGACATAGCTAGGTTGAATTAAGTGTTAGGGGTAGACTAGGCCAGGGAGAGTTTCAACTCATGGTCAGCAGACCTCCAGAGATCTGCGTACTATGTCTAAATGGCCCACGAAGGTTGTTACTACCACAGAACAGTGGTTTTCAACCCTGGACCCTTGGAGGTCTACAGACTAGGTTTAAGATTTCTAGTGGGGTCTGTATCTCCATTTGAAATTTTTAAGGGGTCTGCAAATGAAAAAAATACACTGAAAACCACTGGACTAGGCCTAACTCTGCATTAACAATGATCAAGTGCTTTTGAGGTTCAGATTTTTTCCCCCCCAAGGGAAAGAATTTCACACCACCACAACCCAGCTCTCCCCCTCCTTTGCATGCAGCTCCTTCCACACTCAGAACACACTGTATGTGTATGTTAAACCCCTTCACTGTGCCTGCATCACCCCCTCACTCTTCTTTCCCTGCCTGTCTGATTCAGCCTGGTTCCCCTTCTTCAGCCCTCCTCCCCAAAAAGAGGCAGGCATCAGGATGGGGCCCACAGACTAAGGAGCTGAAGAAAGATGCAGAACAGTAGGAATAGTTTTGAAGGGCTGGGACAAACATGGGGGGGCACGGATGTGGGTTTGAGGGGAACAGATGACACCATGACCTTCTTTCTACAGCCTTCACTTCCTCCCTGCATATTCAACCCAACTTTTCAGATTTCTCCCCCACAGACAGCTCCGGGATGGCTCCAACTCTACCACTACTAAGGGTGTTAAAATGTGTTTATTTTTGTAAGCGAGTAACTGTGGAAAATTTCAGCAGTTACTTGTTTACACACATGGGGGGGAGGGAGGAGAGCCATTGCTCACGCCTGTCCCCTCTATCCCCACACTGCTGCTTCTGTGGGAGGCAGCAGCAGCACGGGGGGAGGGGAAGCAAGAGGCTCATCAGTTAATTGTGTGCACAAGTACAGGCTCCCATCCCTAATCATTGCCACCATCACACCCAGTGCTCATCAGTGGCAATTCTCATCCCCTTTCCCTTGGGCATTCAGAATTCCTGCTAGCACAGGGGGAGGGAGGGAGACGGGTTAAGACTGCCCCAGCCCCAACAAAGGGATAAGGGCCCCCCAGATATTGGCTTATACATGGGGAAGTCTCTACCTTCTCTGAAACTGGGCATAGCTGCCACCCCATTTCCAAATATAACCAGCAGATTTTAAACTGCGGGCCTCAGGCCAGCCTGTAGCAGTGATTGGGGATGTAGCACCACCTCAGTCTGAACTCAGCAGGCCACCTAGTCTCTGGATCAGTGTCAAAACCCACCACAGCCATACCAATTTCTGTTTCTGGCAGCCTCCATTCCCAGTTCTGGCTCTGCCCGCAGAGACCTTTGCACACTCCTTCCCATACCCTGAATATCCAAAGGAGGAAGGCCAGGTATTGGGTTTGTGTTGGGAGAGGCACATCCAAAACCTAATTCAAAGAGGGGGAAGGGGGAGGGGGGGGAACGCTCAGCTCAGAAAGCCCGAAAACCTTCTGGCCTAGACAAACCTAAAATAAAGGTGCGTGCACAACAAGTTGGAAAAGCATAATCGGAAGGTAGCTATCTGTGGTTCACAACTGAGGTACAAGGGCAGAACGAGAGGGGTCTCGCAGGGATTTGTCCTGAGTCTGGTTCTATTCAATAACTTCATGAATGATTTGGATAATGGTGTGGAGAGAGTAGGGATGTAAACAAGTAGTTGAGTATATGATTGGCTGATAAATCTAGGCGTATCAGTTAATCTAGTTGACTACTCGTATCAGAGGCAGCAAGGGAGGAGGAAGCAGGAGCTGGGGAGGAATGGACTTGAAAGACGGTTCCCTCCAGCACCAGGTTTGCGGTGCTGCCTGTCCCCCCACGTTCCCGCTGCAGCCTCTATCAGTGGCAGCAGCGCAGGTTGGGCAGGGGAGGCTGCTGTGAAGCAGCCTTTGGCTGCTTCGCGGCAGCAGCTCCTATCAATAGCCTCTGTCCACAGGGAGCTGGAACACACACACACACGCCAAGGGTCACCATGGCAGCCTTCCCCCTACCCTGCAGCAGCCTCTGTTTGTCAGGAGCTTGGACCCTCACAGAAAGAAGCTGCTGCCACCCTGTGCTGCTGCCTCTCCATGGTGTGGCAGGCAGCTGATCCATGAGGTGAGCTGGCTCCCCTCAAGACCGGCTTCCACATGGCAACCTGCACTGCTGCCTCCGTGCTGATAGAGGCAGCAGTGTGGAGTGGCAGGGGGCTCTCTTGGAGTGGGGCTGTAGCACACTGGCTACCAGCCCCAGCCCCCGGAACTATAGCATGGTCGAGTAGCCAATAAGAATTCATGCAATTACTTGATTATTCTATTACCTGCTATCTAACATCCCTAGTACAGTGAACACTTAAAGTTTGTAGATGATACCAAGCTGGGAAGGTTGCAAGCGCCTTTGAGGACAGGATTAGAATTCAAAATGATTCTGTGAACCTGGAGAAATGGTCTGAAATCAACAAGATGAAATTCAGTAAGGACAAATGGGGGTACTATTCATAGAAATGAATTATCAATTGCACAAAACGGGAAATGACTTCCTAAGTCATTGTAGAAAAGGATCTGAGGGTTATAGAGGATCACAAACTAAAATGTGATTCAACGATATAATACAGTTGCAAAAACAGCCTACCACCCACAACAACGCAACAAACATCAATCTGCAGTATATTAGGAGTGTTACAAACAAGACATGAGAAGTAATCCTAGTCTACTCAGAATTGACAAGGTCTCAAGCCAAGTATTGTATCAGGTTTTGGGTGCCATGCTTCAGGAGACATGTGGACAAACATGAGGAAACCCACAGGAGAGCAAACAAAATGATTAAAGGTCTAGAAAACATGATCTATGAAGGGAAGACTGAATAAAAATTGATTTATTTAGTTTTCAGAAGAGACAACATTCTATAACACCCTCCTTTTTTAAAGTACATAAAAGGTTGAAATTCTCCTTAACCACTGAGGATAGAACAAGAAGCAATGGGATTAAATTTTACAAAGGGACGTTTAGGTTTGACATTAGGAAAAAATTCCCAGTGCTCAACTACCTTGGCAATTTGAACTAATTGCCTAGGGAGGTTGTGGTATCTCTGCCATTGCAAGTTTAAGACCAGGTTAGATAGATATCTGTCAAGGATGGTCTAGATCAGTGATACTCAACAGGCAGACTGTTGCCCAAATGTGGCCTACCAAGGCTTCTTATGTGGCCCACC